CTTGGGCTTCAGTCTGCCAGTTCTTAGGTGGGAACAACTTTATCTCCCAGAAGACATATGGCAATGTCTAGAGACATTGGGTTCAAAGGGGTGTGTTACTGGTATCTGGGAGGTAGAATCCAAGGATGTTGCTAAACATTCTACAGTGAACATCAAAGAATTATCTGCCCCCAAATGCCAAATGCAGTGAGAAAATGCTCCAGAGCTAGCCTGTCTGGGTTTCAACCCACTTACAGTTTGTGTAACCACTGACAAGCTAATTGTCTTTGTGCTTATTGTCCTCATCAATAAAATTACAATATCTACTGATTTGTTGTCAGAATAAACTATATGAGAAAGGGGTTAATGCGGGTGTGGCATTGCATGAGCTTCATTCCAACACTTGGAAGGCAAAGGCAGGAGGAGAAGCAGTTCATTTCTAGCTCCAGGGATCCAATACCCTCTTTTGGCTTCCAATGGCCCACATACAAATAAAAGTTAAAAAATAATGACAACAAAGAAAGGAGGCCAAAATATTATCTAGAACAAACCAAGAGCTCAACAAACACCTGCTTTTAATGATACAAATTTAAAAAAGACTACAGAGAAACACAGCAGGACTGAATAGATGTTCTTGCTTAGTACTCTGCATTTTCCCAATTTACTTTAAAAAAAAAAAAAAAGCATGGTGTTTTGCCTGCATGTATGTCTATGCATTATCTACATGCCTAGTTACCCTCAGAGTCCAGAAGAAAGCATCAGATCCTCTAAAACTGGAGTTACAGATGTTTGTGAGCCACCATATGGGTGCTGGGAATCGAACCTGAGTCCGATGGAAGAGTTCCAGTGCCTAGCTGTCCAATTTTTGAGAACTATGTTTTTATTAGTCTAATTCCTAAATATATTATTTTTAAAGAACAGAAGAAAGAACAAAAGAGAACTAGTTTAATGCTGGCTACTAGTTGTTGTAGGGAGCCGTTCCTGCAGGCACCATTATTGTAATGGAGAATGCAGGAACGGCTCCCTACAAGTTGTGACTTTAGACAGGTCAGTTAATCTCTCTGAGCTATAGTTTCCTTAGAGCTAATAATGTATCTCAGAGGGTTGCTATAAAGAGTCAATATGACAGCTGACAGCTGACAGGGAGAGCCTGTCAAAAGAAAGACTCTCTGCCAAGGGCAGGTGACACCACAAACAGGAAATAGAATCGTGACAGTGACTCTTCTTCCACTCCTAACCGAGCGCCTTAGAGAAGTCAACCCCACCTCATTCCATCTTTGCCATGGGTCGTGGAGGACACACCACCCACACTTGGTCCTTGGCGCTGTGCTCTGCGCTTTTGATACCCACACCCCACAGAGGCAGCCACAGCCTGCAGATGGGACCCGCCATTGCTCTCTCTGATTCTGCTCAGAGTTGCTGCCCACCTCCTCACGGATCTTTCACATCAACCCTCCAGTCAACCACTCTGTGAGGCAACGGTTCTCAGCTTTCTCTGTTGTGTCTTCTGTTCTGCCAGTTGGACGGGTTGCTCCTTTCAGATTTTAGGGGGCAGGTAGAAAGCCCAGCTGGGCGTCAGCTGTGCTGCCCTGTGTGTGTGCAGTTTGCAAGCGGTGCAACTGCTCCTCCAACAGGCTGCTATTCTACTGTGTAGCCAACTTAGTGGGTGATGCTGGAGGGAAGGAGCTTTCTGTCTTCAACGATTTAATTAGATAGCAAACTAATAAAGGCTGTATTATGTGTCTGAACATGAGGGTGACTAGTTTAATCATAGTTAGCTTGCACACTTGAATTCAAATCCTAAGCAAGCTTTCAAAAACACTGTGGGGGCTGGAGAGATGGCTCAGCAGTTAAGAGAACTGGCTGTTCTTCCAGAGGACCCGGGTTCAATTCCCAGTACCCACATGGCAGCTCACAACTGTCTATAACTCCAGTGCCAGGGTATCTGACACCCTCACACAGAGTATATACAAGCAAAATCCCAATGTACATTAAAAAAAAAAACAAAAAACACTCTGGCAGGACTGGGACTGTAGCTTGCCAATACACACAGGCCCTGGGCTTCACCCAATGTCACAGAGGGACTATGTCTTGAGACAATATCTTTCCTGTAGTTCCTGACTGCCACATTTTGGCTCATACTTGAGCTGACACTCAGGATCTTCCTCAGGGTTCCTAGGGAAGGGTCTTTTCAGTTTTGTGATTCCTCTGGACAGTGTTCTGTGACCTGGGTACCAGACTAGATAAAAGAATGCACAGGGCAGAACCACTGGAGATGCTCACTTTCAGCCTGAGGTGAGCTGTTTAATGACAGGAAGAAGTGTTAGACAAAACATATGGGGAAAGTGTGAGACTGCTGGGGTTGTTCCCATCTAACTCCCCACAGCACACTCTGAGAATTTCACCCTAAGTACAAATGAAGTATGAGGAGGACCACTGACGGCCAGGGAAGAATTTATGGACACTACTGAGTTCTGGTTCATGATGAACCTAGCTAATATACATAAACATCAAGCATAGCTTTGGCTACTGCCAACTTCCTACTGCATGTTTACTGCCTCACTATAAACATGTGCAAATAAAATAGGCTCAGAGCTCGGCATGGTGGTACATGCCTGTAATCCCAGGATCAGTTCAAGGCCCATGCCAGCTACATGGCAAGTTTGAAGCCAACCTAGGCTACAAGCAATCCCATCTCAGAAACAAACCAAATAAATAAACAAATAAAATAGACATAAGCACCAAAATTAGTTCCATTAGAATGTTGCTAAGAGTCATGAGTCTTCCATTGTACGTTCACATGTGTACTGAGAGGTTACCACTCACTAGGCCACTTTTTAGGTTACCTGTCCCAGAAGAACGTCTATGTCACCGAGGAAACAACTACTCTTCAAAGTGCTTTGCAATGAATTAGAGGGAAACACAATGTTTTGAAAAGAAGTTTGCAAATCTGAGCTTGCTGCTATCTTCCTAATTTCTTTCCAACACCTCTTTCAGTTTTCCGCAGCATGGAGGAATAAGACCAGGCATCTTCTACTATCAAAGGTCAGAAGGAAAACCACAAGACCAAATCTTTACTTTTTATGTTTGTTTTTGTAAGACAGAGGTCCACTCTGTAGCCCAGGCTACCCTGAACTCTTGGTGGTCCTCTTACTTAACATCTCACTCCTTACCTGAGACTGCAGGCACTGTCCACCACTCACAGTGAGAAAATTGTGTGTGTGTGTGTGTGTGTGTGTGTGTGTGTGTGTGTGTGTGTGTGTACATGTCCATGTGAGCCAGAGGTCAGAGGTCAAGGTTGACAAGCCCAAGAGGCCCTTCTGTTTCTGCTTCCCAGTGCTGAAATCACAGGTCCACATAGCCATATTCAACTTTTTTTTTTTCTAACTATAGTGCTGAATATCTGAAATCAGATCCTCACACCTGCCAACCACTTTATACACTGAGCCATCTCCCCAGCCCCAGAAATTCCTAACTTATAAAAAAAAAAAAAGTACTAGCAAATTTCTTTTGCCCTCAAAAACCTTAAATAATTTGCAAAGAGAGATCGCCTTGTTCTAAAAGCATATTATCTTTAAAAAAAAAAAGTCAGGCATCATAGTTAATATGCATAATTTCTTTAAGGTTTTCTTCTTTTTTTGAGACAGAGTTTGACTCTGCAACCTAGGCAGGCTTCAGATTTGTGGCACTCTTCCTTCCCCAGTACTAGGGTTACAGGCACGAGCCATCATTTGTCTTGATATATTCATTTTCTTTTGAATCTGATGAAGGCAATATGCTTAGGCTAGGCTTGCTACTAGGTTCTGATTTAAAAAGTCAACCATAACATAATTCCAGACTTATCTTTTTTCCTTTAGACATCAGTGATCACCATAGTAACACCATGTTTTACTACTAGGTATCCATGCAGCACAGAGGCAGAGAACAGACAATTACTTACTGGGTTATTTGGGGGTACAGAACATGACTATTGGGATAATTCAAAATTAAATATAGATTTCACTGGAGATCTGCTTTAGCCAGGCAAGCTGACTCAATCTTCTAGTAGCGTCAGCTGAACAAAATTTGTAGCCCAATAGACTGTTGACATCATTGAGATAACACAAGAAGGCAAGCAGCATAGCTCAGTGGTTAAGAATGAGGACTTCAAGATCAAAAGACTTAAGATTCAGTTCTTGTTCTATTTATGATGTGCAATCTACATGATCCTAGATTAGCTCCTGAACTAACTCCTCTATGCCTGGGTTTCTTTATCTCTAAACTGTATTCTGTAAAGATTAATGATTACTTATGCTTGGAATCATGGCTTGCACAGAGTAAGAACTTCTTCAAGTTATCTGTTAAACGAAATTAAATGTGAATTTTCTAGCTCTTCCCTTTGTGCTGGATAGAAATATTGAAAGAAACCAACATGAGTGCATGGCTGATTGTAGCCTTTAAATTTGGCAGATTCCTGTAAGAGCTTCCCCGGGGCTTTCCATAAGATGTGGAATTTTGTGGCGGTCCAGTGTCTTAACGCAGAGCTTGGGGAAAATCATTGGTGCTCCTGGTGTCAGGGACATCTGGAGGATGAGCTAACAGCACAAAGGAATAGCAGGACTGCCCACCCAGGCTCCCTAAGCTACTGCCAGTAGCTCGGGCACAGAACAGCAGCTCAGAAGGATGAGATAGGATTTTCTAACAGTGACAATGAAACCTAGCTCTTCTGAGTGATGATTCCCCCACCCATTCCAGGATTAAGCAGGAAGAAATCCTTTCATCAATGAGTTTATGGTTTTATTGTCAATTACTACATACAATTTCCAACCAAATTTTTTTCCTCAATAGGAGCTTACTCTGGAGAAGTATTTATTTTACAGAACTACCTAGGCATCTTTTCTGGACCTGTAACAAATCTAATGTCCCTAATGAGCGTTCAAACCCATACAAAATCTCCAAGCTGCCTGGAAATAAGAGAAAGAGAAGGTATTGTGTCCTCTGAGCCAAATTTCAGCAGTGATAGAGTGATCTCGAACACATACCTTCATCAGGACTTGATCTCAGAGACAGTCTCTGTAGGTCTTCTTGGTCAGGAGCAGCTCTCAGACAGGACTTTGGAGGATGCCATAAACCACCAGGAAACCTTCGGAACACGTTCATATCTGTCCTCTGCCTTCCCTCAGCTCACAGCCTGCTTCCTGGTAGGAGACGAGATGACGCTGTGCTGGGTTGACTGTTAAACCATCTTCCCACCCCCAGCCCCACTCTCGGGGAGGGGGGGGGGCCTCTTCTCCTTTCCAAGGCTCTGGAATTTGTCACATGGGCAATGGATCATGTGGCTTGGGGGGAGATGTGGCCATCGTCTCTCTCCCTTCCCCCGCTTCTCTTTTCAGGAGCAAAGCAGCAGAAATCTCTGAGCTGATTGGCTCTGATCAGAAAATCTCCATATGAAAAGGGCAAGATCAGCGCAGACCTCCAGCTTCCCTTCCTGGCTTCCCTTCCGCCTTCAGGTAATCTCACCCCCAGCTTTCGCAGAGGAAGAAAAGGGGGCTTTCTCTGCAGTTCCTCACCCTCCTCTCATCGGCATGCGGGTGTGGCTCAGTGTCCCTCAATCTATCTGGGGGCACCTAAAAGCCATCAGGGCAATGGAGTGTTCAGCACCACGGACAGCATTGCCCTCCCTTCCGCACTCCCTAACGCCATTGGCCTACTTCAGGTAAATAAGAATATTTTTCAAGCTTCTCCCCAAAGTCTTATATTTCAATATAAATTACACCATGTATTTGGGGCTCAGACTTCCTCGACTGTCAACTTACTTTCTTAGGAGAACAAGTGATTTATTCCATTAAATCTACATCTGCTTGCTAGCCTCTATTCTGCAACTCATCCTGCCTCTTACCCTTTCACTCTAGTCTTTCGGTTTTTTGTTTTGTTTTGTTGGGGGGGGGGGGCTCAAGATATAGTTTACTATATCATGTTCGTACAACTCTACTTATGGGAAAATCCACATCAACACACAGAACGGTGGGGTGTACAGGCCTTTAGCTCCATCAATGGGCCCCAGGCAGAGTTGAACTGGAAAGGCAGGATAGAAGCCTGGTTGCAGCTATTTTGTGTGGGTCTACCCTGCTTTGCTGACGTCCTGGTTGCCATGGTGCTGGGTGACTGCTGAAGGGGGCTATTGCTTTCAAAATCGGTCACCATGTGACCCTGCTGACTAAAGAAAGGGGGAAAAGAACTGAATTGTTGAAGACAGCTTTCAGTGAGCACTTGCAGAACCAAATCTAGCTTGTAGACTTCTTCCTGACTGGATTGCTGTGGGCCTACATACTGCCAGAATTCTAAGAACCCATATTTACACTAAACAGTGAGTCCTCCCATCCTCCCTTGCTTCCTTAAAAATCTATTTGGACTGAACTGAAGATGCCAGCTCTGTAGAGTATCTGAGGGCTGTTTCCACAGAGCGGTGGGAAGAACACACACAAAGGCATTTCTCTTTGGAAGGCACTCACGTAATTCCTAATAGCCTATTGCAGATATATAAGACACACAAATGCACGTTGACCATGAGAGCCAGCTTGCAAATGCTTTGCCATTTTACAGGGAAAATAAAAATACAATTTGACTACAGACTGCTAAATTAATTTTTAAACATAAATTCAGGTAATAATTGGAGGGCATTTGGATTACCCCAAATCAGGAGTTTAAAGCAGTTATACCTTGGCTGCCAATATAGCTCAGGGTGTAAAGGCCCTTCCTGATAACTCAAGTTCATTTCCAGGATCAACATGCAGAGTCAATGCCAGATAGTTGTCCTCTGACCTCCACACATGCCATCATGTCTCTCTGTCTCTGTCTCTCTCAAAATAAATAGCTGGAGACATGGCCTGATGCTTTTCCAGAGGACTTAGGTTCAGTTCCTAGTACATACAAGATGGCTCACAAAGACCTGTAGCTCCAATTCCAGTGGATCTGACAGCCTCTTCTGGCCTCAACAGGCACCAGACACAGACATGGTACACACACATACATTCCGCCAGTTGTACACAGAAAATTTAAAAGTCTCTTTTTAAAAGTAATAAGTTAATGTAAATGTGTAGCTATATTGTTTCATAGGCCGACATATAATTTATTATTTCTCACCAAGAATACAAACCAAGGCACTCCAAATGTTGTTTTGGAAAAGAAATGCTGATTTGCAAGATGTGAAAATATAACTTAAAGCAGAGAGACAGCAGGGCAGTGGTGATGCACGCCTTAATCCCAGCACTCAGGAGTCAAAGGCAAGTGGATCTCTGCAAGTTCAAGGCCAGCCTGGTCAACGGAGTGGTCCAGGACAAACAGAGCTACACAGAGAAACCCTGTCTTGAAAAACAAAACAGAGAGAGGTATCAGCCCCTTCCTGGCTCAATATCCACAACTAAAGATGTATTTCTTTCTCTCTCTCTCTCTCTCTCTCTCTCTCTCTCTCTCTGTGTGTGTGTGTGTGTGTGTGTGTGTAAGCACTTGTGCACTTATATACATCTGTGTGGGAACCATCCTCATTATTTTCTGAGACAGTGTCTCTTTCTCACCAAACCCAGAACTCACCGATTTGGCTAGGCTCACCAGTCAACCAGCTCCAGCTTTTGACGTGGGTGCCTGAGATCCAAACCCAGGTCCTCAAGCATTCTACTGACCAAGTCATCTCCCTAGCTCTGTGTTTTCTACTTTTATTTTATCAAAAAGGCCACGCCAATCCCTTTTTATATAAGATTCAGAATACGCTTGCTATTTAGCTCAAGCTAACCTCCAACGAACTCATGGTTCTTCTGCCCTTGTCTCCCAGTGCTGGATTTATTGGTGAATACCCCTGTCCTCAGAAATTCAGCTCTTAATTTTAACATTTGCCACATTTAAATTGCCTAAACAAGCTAGATACGTGTTATCGATTTGTTTAGTTTTGTTTGGGTTAGGTTGTCCTCAAACTCCTCATCTTTCTAAATTGCTGCCATTACAATCATGTGCTGCCGAGCTAGGCTCTAGATGTGTCTGGCCAGTCAGCAAGCAGGCTAGTCAGCACTTACAACAGCACCAAGAGCAACTAAACTGGATATGGAGGTAACAACCTATACCAGAATTTGGAGAGCAAGAAGATAACAAGTCCAAGGCCAGCCGGGTGTTGGTAGCCCACGCCTTTAGTCCCCAGCACTAGGGAGGCAGAGGCAGGTGGATCTCTGTGAGTTCGAGGCCAGCATGGTCAACAGAGCGAGTTCCAGGACAACCTCCAAAGCAATTAAGAGAAACCCTGTCTCGAAAAACCAGGAAAAATATAAAAACAAAAACAAAACAAAACAAACAAAAAACAAGTCCAAGGCCAGCCTGGGTTACATAACAAAACTCTATCTCAAAACAAACGAACAAAATCTACCATCAGTGGTGACGTAGATCCATTATCTCAGCACTTGGGAAGCAGAAAGATCTTATGTTCAAGGCCAGCCTGGGCTACATACTAAGGCTTCATCATTAAAAACAAAACACTATATTCACCCACTGTTACCTCAAAACCTCCAAGGGTTATATTCTTTGAACTTATAAACCTCCTGAGAACCAAACATGGTAAGTGAATGGCTCATATAACTGGGTAACTAACCTTTTGAAGAGAAAGGATCAGAATGGCTTGTAAAGGTGCTGGCTACCAAGCCTGACTGCCTGAGTTCGAGCCCCAGGACCCATGTGGTAGGAGAGAAATGACTTCCATAAATTGTCCTCTGACCTCCATACACACACACACACACACACTGGTGTCTGTGTGCATTCACAGACACACACAGATACAGTAAATGCAATCAATTTTAAAATACAACAGATCTTCCAGATTGCTTCAAACATGAACTGAAAGAAAACCACTACCCAATTGTCCCTTAGAAACTCATTAAAATGTTTTTCTTTTTTAAGTTCTCTCTTATGCCTCTGTGGTTTAGGCTTGACAGTTTCTGTCTTATCCACTCCAAAAACAGATTAGTCTCTCAAACTATGATTTTGGGGGTTTATTTTGTTTTGAATTCTTCTCTCATATAACACATCCCGACCAACCACAGCTTCTATTCATCCCATTCCCTGAGCCCTGCTTTAGTTGATTGTGTGGGCCATGCTCTTCTGATGTCCTCGAACCCTCTGGCTTCTATAATCCTTCCTCCCCGTCTTCTGCAGGGTTCCCTGAGCTCTGCCTAATATTTGAGTATGGGTCTCTGCATCAGCTCCTATCAGCTGCAGGAGGGAGCCTCTCTGCTGACAACTGGACTAGGCACTCATCTATGAGTACAGCAGAATATCATTAGAGATCATTTACTTTTTTCCCCAGGCAGTATCAGGCATGGGCTGGCTCCCTCTCATAGCTTGGACCTCAAGTTAGACCAGTCATTGGTTGGCCATTCTCACTAGCTCCAAGCCATTATTGTCCCAGAACATCTTGCAGGCAGGACAGGTGTGAGTTGAAGGTTTTGTGGCTGGGTTGGTGTCCCAATCCCACTACTGGGAACCTTGCCAAGTTGCCAAAGAAAATTTGGTATTCCAAAGAAAATCAGGGACTGGGGAGATAGCTCAATGGGTAAAGTAGCAGTCCTACAACATGAGGGCCAGAGTTCAGATCCCCAGCACGCATGTAAAAACTGGACACAGAAGCAAGAATCTGTAATCCCAGTGCTGGAGAGGCAGGATCCCCTGATCTCACTGGCCAGCCAGCCCCGATAAACTGGTGGGCTCAAAGTTCAGTGAGAGACTATCTCAAATAAAACATCCACTATGGGTATAAAACACACACGCACGCACGCGCGCACGCACACACACAAACACTAGTGAGGCACACCTTTTGAGTTTATCTGTGCAGGTGCTCCCGGTGGTTTAACTGAGGAGGGAAGACCTACCCTGAATTCGGTCCACATCAGCCCATGGCTGGGGTCCTGAACTGAATACAGAGAGAAAAGGAGAGAGCTGAGCACCAGTCTTCATCTCCCTGCTTCTTGGATGTAGATGCCATGCCAGTGTTCAAGCTCACATTGAATGCCTTCCTCTCTATGCTAAACCACATCCCCTCAAACTTTGAGCCAAGGCCAATCCTTCCTGTCTTTAAGTGTTTGTCAGGTGTTTTCTCACGGTGATAGACAGCAACTCAGACAGTACCCCTCCAAATCAAGTTACTCATGTCTTTCTTCTTTTATCTTTGGTGCTGCGCACTAAACCAGGGCCAGGGCCCAAGTAAGCATTCATTTTATAGCATGCTACACCCCAGACATCTCTTTCTTTTTACCATATACTACTTAAATCTTCACACATATTACTTCTATTGATGAATCTATTGCATTTCCATTTTTTGGCTATAAAGGTTGTTTCGGTTATTTTTGAGACAGGATCTCATAAGGCCCAGCCTGGCTTGGAGGGAGCCTATGTCACTTAGCTGACCTTGAGCTGCTAATCCTCCCCTCTACCTCCCAAACGATAGAATGTTTGTGGAGACATTTCATCCTGTTCAAAGACGTTTTAAGGGAGGATCCTAGTCCAATCAACTTTACAGCTTCAAGATTAAAAAGAAAATTAAAATTTTCTTAAAATTTGTTTTATTTTATGGGTATTCTGTTTGCATGTGTGTCTGTTCACCATAGGCACACCTAGTACGAAAGGAGGCCGGAAGGTGTCAGATCCTCTGAAACTTGCGTCACAGGCAGTTGTGAACCACTGTGTGGGTGCTGGGAATCCAACCCAGGGCTGTTAACTGCTGAGTCATTTCTCCAGTGCCCACAAAATTAAAAAATTCTAAAAAGCCAGCTACACGCTCACTAACTTTATGTGCTGGCATATTAGATAAATATGAATTTGGTTATTACCCTAAAGCAAATTAATTTTTATTTTTCACTGTTACTTTAAAAGCATTTTGTACATGTTGATCCTCTTATCCCTGAATTAAAACTTGGGTAGTCTCATTATTTTTCCAGGATATTTTTATTCAAAAGATACTACTAATTAAAATATTCTGTCTTTGTTTTTTGAGACAGGGTCACATGTAGCCCAGGCTGGCCTTGAGGGCTCACTGTGCATCCTTGAATGACAGTATGCATCACCAATTATGGGGCCTAAACCTATAGCTTAAAACATGCTAGTCATCCACTCTACCAACTGAGCTATATTATCCCAGCCCATTGAGGTTTATGTAACTTTTTTTTTTGGTAGTGACTTATTTATGTATACAGTATTCTGTCTGCATGTATACTACAGGGCAGAAGGAGGAACCAGATTTCATTACAGAAGGTTGTGAGCCACCATGTGGTTGCTGGGAATTGAACTCAGGTCCTATGGAAGAACAGCCGGTGCTCTTAACCGCTGAGCCATCTCTCCAGGCCCAGTATGTGTATGGGTAGATTTTTTGTTTTGGTTTGTGTTTTGTTTGTTTGGGTTTTGTTTTTGTTTTTAAATTTATGTCGTTTTTCAAGACAGGGTTTCTCTGTCAAGTTTTGGAGCCTGTCCCGGAACTGGCTTCCAATTCACAGAGATCCACTTCCCTCTGCCTCTGGAGTGCTGTGACTAAAGGTGTGAGCCACCAACGCCTGGTCGCTTGTGTAACTTTTGATCTGCTTCTCTCTTCATCCCTTCTCCTGTCTTTCTATCTCATTCCACAACTCACTTTCCGCAGAATCTGTTCTTCAGCCTCTTCATCGGCCTAGTGACTGTGCCTCTGCAGTCTCTGGACCGTTGGCCTCCTAACCCCAACACGACTTAGCCATTTACTAATGTTCTCGCTACAGTGGGACACACTAAAGCTTTTGTCTTTTCTTAATACCACTTTAGCAACCTCCCTCTGAAACCTTTCCCTTCTGTTCTTAGTCTCCTGAGTGTTCGGAGTTCCTGGTGCTATGCTTATTAGATTACCACAGACTAAAGTGCTCTAATCTCAGCTGGGCCAGCTGTGCTTTGAGCAAGCTGCCACACTTCCAGATGACACTTCATTTGGTACAGGAAGCTGCAACTTCAATAATGGCAGATACGACACAGCCTCCATCTTCATAGCACCAACCCCCAAATATTTTCTGTAGAGAAAAAATAATTCATTATAAAGAAAAGTCGATTGTACCCAATTCTAATCTACTCTCATTAGGATTCTATTTCCAGCATCCCCTAAAGAAGCAGAAAGATGGACTGGATACCCGTTTGTGAAGGACCAGAGTCTCATATTGGTATAGTATGAAACTTTGAACAAGGTCCAATAGACATTTTGTTTTCTATCTTCAAAGCAGAAAGCACAGAATTACCGGTCTTGATAATTGGGAGGCAGGGGTGGATGGCGTTTTGAGCTGATCATCTAATTCAGGGCTCCGTGAATAGAATAGTAAGCATGTGCTCTACCCCTAGGCTATAAATCCAAACTTCATAACTTTTTTTTTTCCCCAGTTGGGCCTATCTTTTCCTTGTTTTGCCCCCTATGCAAAAGCACTGATCTCCAGCAGATGAAAAAAATCAGTCATGAACCTCAAGCATTATCTGTCTTTGGCTCACTCAGACTCACAAGAGTCATCTGAGAGTGATGAGACAGCTCACGAGGTAAAGTGCCATAGAAGCCTGAGAGCCTGAGTTTTTGGTCTCTGGAACCTACGTAAAGGTGAGAGAGAAAACTGTCTCCAGAAAGCTGTCCCAAGACCCCACAACACACTCACACATACCAATAATAAATTAATTCAAATTTAAAACAGAACTACCTGAGCCAGACACCAATATCTCCTGAACGCCTGTGTGTTGCACAAGGACTCCCTTTCACTTGTTTGCCTGATTCCATAAAAAATGGGGGTCCGAGGCTTTGGAGATCACTCAGGGGTTAAGAAAACACACACACACACACACACACACACACACACACACACACACACAGGAAATTCTTTCCCAGACATTCCCCTTCCCCAAGTGACTTGTATTCACTGAGAAATGTCTGTGTAACGATAGGCTTAAACCTTACTTTTCTCATCTGTCAGTAACAACAAAGCCACTGGTGTGGTCAGATCATCCTCATCTCTCTGATAGGCTTATGGAAAGGCTTCATTATCGATGCCTACTAAAAAGGCATTCCCACCTGCCCTCCCGGGCGAGAAGACCACCCGGGCGAAAACACTTTAATCATGCCTTCCCCAATCAATGGAGCAGAACAGCTCCAGGTGGCAAAGAAACCTGTGCTAGATCAAAGGGCCAGCTTGGGAGCTTCAAAGTATGCTAGTATGTTCCTGGCATCCACAGTAATCACAGCACTAGCGGCTCCCAAGTTAGGGTACCTATTTCAATGCCTTTCCCCCACAATCTGCCTCACTGTGCCCAACTCATGTGCACATCTCAAGCTCTTGCCTTTATTCCTCCAGAAAATCTCCAAGTGTGTAACTATGCAGAGCAGGAGGTCTTAAGCCACGGATCTTAATTTCTTCTTGTTTTCTAGAGGGAACTCTTTAAGTAGTGGTTCTCAACCTTACTTAAAAAAACAAAACCAAACAAAACAAACCCAGAACTTTAAAAAAAGAAATATATTAATGGAGGCTGGGCATGGTAGGGTACACACACACCTTTAATCCAGCGCTTGACAAGAGAATCTGGGAATCTGAGAATCTGGTCTCAAGAGAATCTGGTCTCAAAAAATAAATAAAATACTGATGGGCCAAAGAGGTAAAGGCTCCTGCTGCCCTGAAAACCAAGCCTGACAGGCTGAATTCCATTCCTGAACCCACAGAATGAAGGAGAACCGACTCCACGGTTGCCCTCTCACCTACACATGCACACTGTGACAAAAGCAAAGGCATCTACATCACAAACACTTACACAGTAATTATAAAGATAAACTAAAAGGTACTGATGCTGAGCCACTCAAATGGCTCAGCTGGTAAAAGTTTGCGGTCAAACCTGATGACTTGAGTTTGGAACCTGTGACCGATAATAATGTTGGGAAAGAGCTAACTCCTGCAAGTTCTCTGATCTCTACACACGAAATGTGGCATGCACATACTCTCTCACTCACATGTGCACGCACACGTGAACAGACACTAAATAAATCTAAAAATCTTAAAGAAAAAAAAATACTGATGTCTGGGAGCACACCACTCCCAGACATTCTGATTTAACTGATGTCGGGTAAAGCCAGGCATTAAAATCTTTCAAAGCTCCCCAGGTAATTCTAATGTGCAAACAAGATAAAGGACCTTAAGGCTTTCTGATACAGACAGACTTACGCTCCTTGCAGCACCCACAAGTGGGTAGATGGCTAGCACAAATGCTGCTCAAGAAAGAAACTCTCCCTTACTGATCACATAGGGTATAATTCTGTGCTGTTAAGTCACAGTCTTTCCAATAGTAGCTCATTTTGTTATCACACTAATTCTTTTAAGTTTGGAGAGATGGAGAATGTCTCAGTAGTTAAGAGTGCTGGCTGCTCTTCCAAATGACTCAGTTTCAATTCCCAGCTCACAGCCATCTGTGACTCCAATCTCAAGGGACCAGATGTCCTCTTCTGGCCTGAGGGCATGAGGAACAAGTGGTACGGGGAAAACACTCACACAACTAAAATAATTTTTAAGAAAAGATACTCCTAGCCAGGCAGTGGTGGCGCACGCCTTTAGTCCCAGCACTCGGGAGGCAGAGGCAGGAGGATCTCTGTGAGTTTGAGACCAGCCTGGTCTACAAGAGCTAGTTCCAGGACAGCCTCCAAAGCCACAGAGAAACCCTGTCTCGAAAAACCAAAAAAGAAAAACAAACAAACAAAAAAGACACTCTTGGCCTTCTGTTACTTTAATCTTTACTTTATAAATTGGGAAAGTGAGCCTCTGAGGCGTCATGTGTCCTGACTGGGGGATCCAAGAGACCAGACTCAGGTTTTGGGTCCTTGACTCTAAACAGTTTCTATATTACACTTAGATGGTGGATGATTCCAAACCAAATATCTAGGCTTCAACCCAGAAATCCTATTCTATTGTATCCATAAGTTTCTCCTGCATTTTTCTGTGAATTCAGCACATACAGCCTACAGGGCAGAATACAGAATACAGGAGAACTTCCTGTTAGGGTCTACCTGGCTGGTCCTTTCTTCCTTCCTTCCTTCTTCCTCTCTCCATCCACCTCCCAGGCTCTTCTCCAACTAGGTTCAAGCAGTCCCCCTGCCTCAGCCTCCTTGGATAGCTGGACTGTAGATTGTAGATGTATGACTCCATACCTCTTTTCCAAGCACTTTCCTCTGTACTAGATCTTTCTCCGTCACTGCCAGCTTTAATCCTAAGGCATTCCATTTTTGCTTTCTTACAGACGAAGGAAGCTTTATTGCTCACTTGCCACTACTATTTTGTCGGGCCCCATCGGTCTTCCTATGTTGACTCTATAGAGCACACAAAGGATTAAAATATATTCAGCACATGCCGGCAGTGTCAGTTATGGAGGAAGCTGAGGCAAAAGGACTACCCGAGACTAGATTTTTGAGTCCATTTAGGCCAGTCTTGATCCATACAGGGAGATAACTGTTTCACACAGAGAGGGAGAAAGGCAGCGCCTCCCGCATCCGTGGGTTTCACATCCTCAGATTCAGCCAAAAGCAGACAAAAAATATTGAGAAGAAAAATTTGCATCTGTACTGAATGCTTTTCTTGCCGTTATTCCCTACACAGTATAGTAAGGAGCTATTTACTTAGTATTTACATGGATTTACATATCACACATAATCTATAGTTTACAAGATGTACACAGGTTACACGCAAATAGTTCATCTTATTACATGGGAGACTTGAGCATCATAGATTTCAGTATCTGTGCATGGTCCTAGGAACAATCAGTGGGGGACAGTAAGAAATGACTGAATACTGACTGTATTACATAGCACTGCTCCCAATAGAAAGGTGGATCCCAAGATCTACAGAATTGAGAGGCTGTAGACTTGTAACATGTAGTCTTATAATGAGCCAGGGACACCTCTGAATAAGTTGTAGGCTAAATTTCATTCTGGCCAAAGGGTGAGGCTGGTGGGAGGTGCCCGGGGATTCTATTGGAAAGAGGTCACTTCAGGTGTTGTTGGATGGTACCTTTGAGATGTTGCAGGACAAAAATCCAGTGTTTGTGCAGGTGTTCCATGTGCCTGGGAGAGAAAAGAGGCCAGATCAGTGACACCCCTCCAGATTATTACCTGTTTTACCCCCGCCCTAACCTCAGCTCTTGCTCATAACCCTTTTTAGAAATGTCTCTGAGACAGACACTCCCAATCCACACTTTGCCGTCATAGACCAAATGGCATCTTTCTGCTTTCTGGTTCACGAATGCGCATAGATTATCTTAGGCTAAGCTTCCTCTCCTACCTACAGCTCCTTCTGGGCTCATCTCTCAAGCATGGGGTACTGTTTCCGTTGACCTCTTCCATTTCTAATACTTCCCATCTTCAGCCCAGTTTACCTCGGTCCACATTCACAGCCTCTCAAGGTCTTCAAGAAAAAAAAAAGAAAAATACTCCTTTCGTCCCTCAGAAGATCTATCCTTCTACGCTGCTCGCAGAGTTAACCATTCTACACAGCCAAAACCCAAGACGTTTTGTTTTAAAACCGTGCTGGGCTCGCCCACTCCCACTCCGGCTATCTGACTCCAGACCCCCAACGACTAACAGAAAAGAGGGGACGAGTTACATTCGCGTGGGATTTCGAACGAAAACCTCCCTAAGGGCGTGAGTGCGCGCTGGGATGCTGACAGAGACATTCCTCGGGGGCCGAGTCTGGCCACCTGTGACCGACCAGGCAGGAAGTTTTGAAACCCGTTTGCGCGCCAAA